ATATTTATTTGGGCATTCCCATTGTTTACCTTGCTTACCTTTTGCATGTCCTCTGTGCAAAGGTGTCTGTGTCTCTGTGTGTGTACATTTTATGCATAATCCTTGCATGGGTTCCCTTCTAGGAAATACGAGTTTTGAAACCAGCAGACTACCCTACCCACTGATCATCAAGTGTTCCAGAATGCGTAGCCTTCACTCAGTTTGGTGGTTTTAGGACCCTCTCTGGACAAGATAATAGAGAATTTCCCTGACTCTAATCCAACACATTCCTTATGATTTTTATCAGAGATCAGTTTAATGTCTTCTTGTGTGACATAGACTCCGATTGTGGCAATTTGGCAATTGTTACTTCTCTTTTCTCCTTTGCCCAACCTTAACTACCTCAGACCCTCTAGGCTAAGTGTCTGGGAATTTGACACTAAAATGACTATCTCTTTTTCCTTCTCTGGGTACTGTAGGGAGATATGAGGTACAAGCTTTAATGAGATAAGATAATCATATATAATTGAATTGTTCCTAAGCCAATTAAGAGTACATGTGTAAGGATAATTAAAATGGAATTAAACATCCTCTGTAGCAACAAATTTAGTTCTTCTTCTCTGTCTTTGTTCAAAAATTATACAACATATTTTTGCTTAGGTGGACAGCTTTGAAATAGATCTTTTGGTTTTGTCATAAAAGACTATGTGCCTTTCTGAAGCTTATTTTTTCTATGATAGTTTTTAAGATTTTGAACCATATTAAATAATAGCAGTGTAAGTTCTTTTTCTCACATCGCTTGTAACATATGTTTCAAAAATAAAATTTAAAAGTTTTATGTTCTAAATTTCTCCGCATTCTTTCTCAATCAGAATTACTCTCGATAGATGACTTTAACTCATTTACAGGAGAACATTTAGGCAAGATTATAAAAACTAAGCAAATTCCCTCATATGTAATATATAATATAGGTTTTGCTTTCGCCTCTAACGTTGGGAAAATAAGTTTCTTCCTAATTCTTCTTATGGTCTAAGATTTTTATTATGAAATATTTCTAACATGGAGAAAAATATAGATGCTAATAAAACAGACACCTATATACCCATCATCTCAGCTCAACAAATACTAGATTTTTTAAATAGATACAACTTGTGTACTTTTATGTGTTTAAAGGCAAGATTGACCAATGAATATTGTCTCATACTTTATTTTGGGACAGAGGTTATGCTACTTTATAAAGTGAGATGAAGAGCTTTATACTCTTATGAAATATGATAAAATAAAGTAGTGAGAGAGTTGAGAGAATAACTTAATAAAGAAAGTCCCTACCTTGCATAAGATTCATCTTTAGAGCTATTTATAATTTGTGCTTTGTGTATATGTGGGGTGAGGGGATTGCCTACTGTTCTTTTGTAAGGTTTTACACGTTGATTTGTTTCCATTTTTAAGTTACATTTGGAAATGTATAAACTTACAATAGTTTATCTTCAAAGATATTGAAAAAAGCCATAGTATTATACTTTTAAAAATCTATTTTTAGTTATAATTCTATTAGCCTCTAAATCTGTACTATATTTAGTATTATGTCCTTACCTTTCATTTCTCTTCATGTTTATTTATGCCATCTCAGAACAGAGATGTCTTTTATAGTTTAATTTTTAAAAAATTTGTTATTGTTGATAGCCTTTATTGTTCTTTTCTGTTTCATAAATGTCTGCTTTTTTTCTTTTAATCTTTCCTTACTTCTTTCTTAAATTTTTATCCTTTAGTTCATGTATTAAATTAATTATTTGTATACCTAATCTTTGAATTTTCTATCTTTTTTTCTATCCTCTATGCAATTTATCCTTAAATCCACTTGAGTAACATTTTACAAATTTGGCATATCACTTAGAATTCAAATATTTTATAATTTCCATTACAAATGTTTTTTCTCTAACTTATTAAGACTCACAAGTTTGCTTTTGAATATCCAAATATATGATGGATGTGTGTGGTATTGGAGAGTTGCTGTTTTTGTATTATGATACCGAATTTAATTTTTTTTTGAGAGGAAGATGAAGTATTATATTATTCTTCAGTATTTGTTGAGACTTATTGTTCAGCTGTGTGTTTTTGTTTGTTTTTTACTGTTTCTTGAGTGCTGCAGGGAAAAAATGCTTTCTCTAAGGGCTCACTAAAGTGCCCTGTGTTAAATTAATTGGTTCAAGATTGATTATTGAGTTATTGAAGTCAACCTTAGGTAATTTTTAAAATCTGAGCTATTAGTTATGGTAATATGTTAAAACTTTCTCCTAGCATTATATGATGTCAATTTCTTTTTTTAATTCTCTCAGTTTTACATTTTGAGGCTATACTGTTTAAATGGATTCAGATTCAAGGTCATGATAGATTTCTAGTGAATTATTTCTTATTTCTTAAGGAATGATATTTCTCATCCCCAGTAATGCTTTTTACCTTTGCTTATTTTATCTGATGTTAATATTGCAGTATTTTTTTTTTTTTTTGCTGTTTTGGTTCCTGATAATTTCTTAGTTTATCTTCTAATCTGTATCCTTTCCATGTGATTTTTAAGTACATCTCTCATAAGCAGTACATAACTGGATTTTATTACTTTTTAAATCTAATCTGAAAATATAGTTACATTTATTATGATTGTGTTATACTTTATATTATTTTTTTATGCCTTCTATTTGCTTGATTTGGTATTCCTTCTATCCTTTAATTTGGAAATTATAACTTTTTTTTCTCTCAATAACTACTTACAGAGTTTTAGCAAAGTGTAGAACTAACATATTTCATCTCTCTCTTACTCCCAAACCATGCCCAGGTTTTATAGTGCTCTCAGTTCAATGTCATCTTTCTATTTTACATGCAGTTATTGTGAAGTATTTTATTACCACTTTGTTTTATCTCTTAGTCATCAGTATTATTTTTTAAAATTAATTTTTGTTTGGAGTTACTCATGTCTATGAATCTTTTAGTCTATCATTGCTTTTACATTCCTATCATTCCCTCCTTGCTATAATTTCTTGTTAAGAGCATCCACTGGTGGTTAATTTCAACAATATTCTCCAAGGGATAGAATTTAAATTTGGGATACTGAAAGTGTTCTTATAATTGCCATTTTTTAGAGCCATCATTATGAATAAAATTCTAAATCAATAATTTCTCTACCTTTGGGAGGCTGAGGTGATTGGATTGCCTGAGCCCACGGGTTCGAGACCTGCCTGGGCAGTGAGACCTCATCTCTACAATAAATCAAAAAATCAGCTGGGCGTGGTAGTGCATGCCTGTAATTCTGGCTACTTGGAAGGCTGAGGCGGAAGAATCGCTGGAGCCCAGCAGGTCGAGGCTGCGGTGGCCGGGAGTGGCCACTGCACTCCAGACTGGGCAACAGAGTGAGACTCCAACTCAAAAAATAATAATAATAATAATAATAATTTCTCTGGCCATTTGAAGATATTTCAGTCTTCTTTATTTGTTGACTTACAGATATGATTTCTTACAGATATTTCATTGTCATTTTTATTTATTAGTTTATTGGTATTATTTCTGCCCATTTTATTGTCATCCCTCTGGAGAAAACCTTTTGTTCAAAATGGTTTTAAGATATTATTTTTCCAATTCATTGGAGATTGCAACACACCAAATGGATGAATATTTTTCTTTCTTGAGATTTTAACTTTTGTAATTTCAATTTTTAAAAATATTTCAATCATTAGCTATTAAAATATTGCCTCTCTGCTATCTCTGCGTTTTTTTTTTTAAATTCTGAAACACCTATAAACATACATCTGGACTACTGATTACATTTTCTGTATTTCTTCTCTGTCCCATTTTGACTCATAATTTTTTTGCTACATTCTAAATATTTTCTTTAAGGTTATATTTTAATTATTGAATAATCTTTTTCTCTGCTGTGTCCCCTGAGTAATTTTTAAACATTTCTTAAAAGTAGTGTTTATTTCTAGAAGTCTTATCTGTTTGAAGTATGACTATTCTTTTATCACAGTATTCCTTTTTTCATTATTAAAAAAATCATTCATTTGACTTTAATTGTATAAAACAAGGTTCAGCAAACTTTTTCTGTCAAGGATCAGAGAGGAAATAGGCTTTAAAGACTATGCAATTTCTGTTACAACTCTTCAACACTGTAGTGCAAAAGCAGAGCTAAACCGTTTATAAACAACTGGGCATGGTAATGTCCCAATAAAACTTTATTTATGAAAACAGGCATTAGACTGAACATATATCATGGGTTATAATTTACTGACTCCTGACTTAAAAACATACTCTTTATAATCACATTCAAAAGGTTTTCTTAGTTCAAGTAACTGAAAATTGTAATTCTGTTTGATGCATCAGCTGACTGTCCCTTATGGTATATTATTTTTTCATGTGACATGATTGTGAGTTATGGACTCTATAGCCTTCTGTCGGAGGCCTTGAGTTGTGGTATGCATACTTGCATTTTGGATCATACAGCTAATATTTTTATAAAGGATTGATTTTTAAATTACTACCCTCAGAAATACTGTGACTAGAGATCTCCTGAAATATTCCAGTGCTTGGTACACAGTTTTATACTTGAGGAGCACACATCTGTTACTGCTATCATTATCTTTATTAAAACCAATAGCACTGTTGCTGTTATCATTGATCCTAGGTCTTATAGAAATTACTAAAATTGTTGTTGTTACTATTTATGCTTCCAAAGCTTTCGAAAATTCTGATCAATTGGAAGCTTTTAATGGGACCTGGTACTATTTTGAGTTAAAATATAGGAGATATTGAATGAAGTATACATTTTGAAAATTAAAGATAATAAGGCCAGACAGAAACATAATGAAAGAAACTTTGGGGATTTCTCTTCTGGAATATCATTTTCAAAAGAATAGAATTCAGCATATTATTGAATATATATGTTCAATATTCATGTGGGTGTGTGTGTCTGTGCACATGCACACCTCTTTCCCTTAATCTGTAGTAAATTCATGCCTCTTGCTTGTTCATCACAGGGCACTTGAAATGGACCAAAGCTGAGGACATTGACATAGAAACCCCAGGATCTATTCTTGTCAACACTAACTTGAGGGCATTAATAAATAAACATACGTTTGCTTCCTTACCTCAGCATTTTCAACAATACCTCCTGCTTTTGCTTCCTGAAGTGGATAGGCAGGTAAGTAGAAGTTTTAGGCATCTGATATCAATTACTAGCTGTAGTATTATGGATGACTGATAAATGGATGTAGCACATTTAAATAATTTATTTATGTATGCATATTTCTTGCTATTATTGGTTTATTTATTTAATCTGCCCAACAGAACCATTTTTATTCTCAATTGTGAGCCAATGCAAATTTTAAAATACAGTTCATAGCAGAGTGAAAATTAGAGACTTACATTAGAAAGGGAAAACAAAGAAATCAAGCATTTCACTATGAAATAAATCTTTGGAGTATCTGCTTCTTTGTCCAGAGGGAATATTGAAATGCAGCAATAAAAAGCCAGAGTTTCTAAGAAATTATGCAAATGTTTTATCCTCCACTATTTTCAAAAGACATTTAAAATTTATGTTTGCAGTTGCTTTCTGAGAGTCTATCACCATGAATATGATTGCCTATAAATAATCATCTTTTATCTCTTTTTTAGTGTAACTAGAAATTTTTTAAATGTATTTTTATATTTTTGAAAAGCTTCTAAAATAAGGAAATACAAATATAGACCTGTAATAGCAGGCATCAATCATTTTTAAGGCTGTTTCCTTAGGAAAGAAAAGGAAAAAAAAATTCATCACATAAACTTTTATTAAATTTCACAGAAGTTATTAAGTGCTATCTAGGAAACATTCCCTTATGATTCTTATTTCAGTAAATTCTAACACTGTATATCATTTTCAATTGATGGACTTAATGCATGTGTATTTATGAATCTGTATCTTGAAATGATAGGTACATTCATGAATTGAAGTGGGCAAGATTCATTCAATATTTCCATATTACTTTGAATACTTTTTATTTGATTCTGCTTTCTACTGACTTACCTATCTCCTTCATACATATTTAAATATGATAAACAACAGCTTGCTACAGCTTTTATGTGTCTCTTTGGTGGTGACTTGTTCATATTTAGAAAAGATTATTTTGTTTTAGGTACATTTCATTTCACTGAGAGTTTGCGTTCATTCAACAACATTTTACTTAATATTTACTCTGCATATGGTATGTTTTGGGTGCTTTGTAATAACAGAAGGACAGTAAGTGCTTATTGAATGCTTATTGAATGAATGATGAAATATACTCTATTTGGATGCATAAACTGAACTTGTAAATAACCAAAATATGAGGTAGAAACCAGTAAGCTTGGAGGGGAAGACACAAAGCATATTGTACTTTGTATACAGAAGGGAATAATCAGGGACACATTTAAAATTCTCGATTTGGGTCTTGAAATACAGAAATACTGAATAAATAGTTGGAAAAATACCAAGTGAGAGTCCAGTAGGCACAAAATCATATGCTAATTTGGTGGGAGTCTGGAAGAATGGTGCAAGTGATTCTGGAAGTAGATTTTGAAGGATTCCTTGAGTATGAAGCTAAGGAGTCTGAACAGTGTTTATTGTGTGACTGCAGTGCAAAGCCATCGAGGACTTTTGAGCATGGCTATGATATAATAAAACTTGCTCTTTTAGGAAATTCTTCTGGTAGTACTGAAAGAAAATAATAGGGACAGAAAACACAAAAGTGGAAAAAGTAGTTAAAAAGCAATTTTCATTGTTCCCAAAGACATAATGAGTGTTTGAATCTGGGGGATTGCATTGAAAGGAAAGAAAATGTACTCATCATCATCATCATCATCATCATAATTCATCTCCTCCTCCTCCTTCTCCTCCACTAGTAGCAATTTTACATTTTGTCAAATAGCATTTGAGCCAAGAAGTAGGGAGGAGTCACTGATAACTCTTCAGTTACAAACTATGTGACTAAGATAAAGTTCAGGCATTAAAAACTTTTAGGGGCTGATTTGTTAGCTTATAAAACTGTTTCCTCCCCTTCAATATATGTGTAGTTTATCTTGTTTACACTTCTGTCTCCAGCTTCTGAAATTAGGGTTAGCATATACAGTGCACTAAGTAAACACAGTACTTAGTAGTTTTAGAATAAGAAAGAATTAATTATAAAATTTATGAATTATAAAATTCATAAGTGTATAGACATTTGCGTATTATAAATTTTATAAACTATATATTAGAAATTTTATGATTTTATTAATTTATACTTTTATAATTTATGTTTATTTATATTTGTATTTATTATTTATAAAATTATAAAATATATAGAATTATAAATTTATAAAATTATAAAATACCAAATTTGACTAGGATTAATCCTAGTCAAATATCTTGTAACTCATGAAGACAGAGTTTAAGCCCTGTATCTTATTTGACCTGTAGTAGTTTGTGTTACTCAGTTTTTTCTGTCACTATGAGAAAGATAAGTGAATAAGGATAATACTGGCCTCAAGTAACATTTAGTCCATTGAGAAATTATTTATTTATTCAAGAATTATTTACTAAGCACGTATTGTATGCTATATGCTTTGTTAACTACAGAGGATGCAAGAATGAATCTGTGAAGACATAACAGAGGAAAAGGATACCCTCATGCTGAAATACAATACACTTTGCTCGCCGCTAGTAAAGAAGCTTAATAACTGGATAGATCACATCCAATTTAGTAAAAGACTGGGCTGAGTCATATAAATGTCATAATAGATGTATAAAGAAAGTCCTCTGAAGACAGAGAAGATGAGGAAATTTAATCTGAATTAGATTAATTAGAGATTTTATGGTGGAAAGAATACTTAAGTTGAACCTTAAAGGGCTTATAAATGTTTCTTCTGTAGACCCAAAGAAAAGTAAATTTTAACATGTCATTTACAAAGACTTGTTGCTTGTGTGTTCCAGAAGATTAAATATTTCTGTATTAATGAAATAACCTATGGGGGAAAATGGTAGGCTAGTCTGTTGAATGGGGAATATGGTCTATGACCTTGATGACCTACTTAAGGAATGTGGTCTGTGACCATGATGACCCACTTGTTGGCTAAACTTGAACTTTTTCTGAAACCAATGGATACCATCTAAGATTTTTAAAAATAAGAAACAATATGCATAAAATAATTTAAACCCACATATTTTGGTGCTTGGATATAGGGGAGGGGAAGAGGGCCCAAAGGATAAATAAGATAAAGTCCTTATTTTCCCTGAGGAGCCAGTAGCCCTGCAAATGATAGATTGGATAGCAGAAAGATAACACACAGCCAGACTGGTTAAGAGACAATTGCAGTAGTTGAGATAAGAGATAAAGGTCTGTCCTTGGGTATTGGCCTTGGAAATGAACAGAAAGGAATTAATTCCAGATATATTTTCAACCTAGAATGAGTAGGAATAAATGATACATTGCCTATGAGATGGCATTGTTAAATGTCTAGAAGGCAACTGGAGACTTTTTCTAGGGTGACTTGGAAGGAGATAGAAGCTCTATGTGGGCCTGTCGGCATTTGATACCAAGAAATTTAGAACTAGCATGTTCTCTTTTGGCTGGACGTTGACTCAGTCCTTCACTTACCAGAAAAGGACAGATAGCTTGTACTTGATGCAACAAACTACCAAAACTGCTTCTGTTTTAATGTAGCTTGCAAATGCCTAAATGAGCCTGAATATCACTAGGCCAGAATGAGTAGAGAAAGCATAGAAATGTGACTGTGATAATTTGAGCCAGCGGAAGATCCTACAATTATGTGAAACACTTAAGAATTTCAGTTGTGTGAAGGCTTGTCTTCACATATTTTTACAAAATCTGAAACTAATCTGAAAGTAATAGCTTTCTTGTTTCCCTCTGACTACTGCAGGTTTCTACCTGCTTTCTAGCATGAAATAGTTCTATAGGGCATCCTACCCTAGACCCATATGAAACTGAGCTTTCTTCCATTATTACATCCTGAAAATATAGGAACCTGAGTTTCTCATTTATCTTGCCAATGCCAACTGTTATTAAGCCAACCTTTCTGGGTGTTTTGTTTCTCTATATTTGCATTTTTCATGTTATCTTTTTTAGAGGGCTATTTATTTTAGATTATATTTTTTTACTAACTCCTGGTTGTTTTATAACATCGTTACATCTAGCTTTATATTTAACTTTACCCTTCACACATTTTACGACAAGCAACAGAAAACCCAACTCAAACTGACTTAAACATAAGGAGGATTTATTGACTGAGTTAATTAGAAGATAGAGGTTTGGTTGGTTGTCTGGTTGTTGTTTCTGGGATGCAATCATTATCAAAGGTCCATTTAGTTAGTATTTAAATAATTGATTTTTAAACACTTCTCCCTTCTTGATGACATTATTCTAAACCTGAATCCCTTTGTGATAGGCTGGCTACCTGAGTCAAGAAACGGGCCTCTGTGTCTTGGGTCACATGCATGAGAAGAATACTTCTGTCCCATTATTGCAAACAAATAACCTCTGATTCACACTAATGGTACTCCTTAGATCACATGACCATTTCTTAAACTATCACTCTTAGTCAAGGAAATGGAATATGCATATTGGCCTAAGCCAGGAAAGCCTATTCTCAGAGCATAGAATGTGTTCACCATCTCCTGAAATAAAATGGTGTACTTGTGGTAAAGGTCAGAGATACTATAAAAATCTGGTTTTTAGGAAGTTTTATTAGAGAATATACATGTTGGGTTAGATGTTTTGTAAGCAATTAATAGTGCCCACTGAAGTGAGGTAGAAATTGAGTTTGGTTTTTGATATGTTGGGTAAAGATGGTTTTAATATACAAAATGGCCAGATATTGATTATATAGTCAAATTTTGAGACTGTAGAAGATAGAGTTAGCAATAGAATATACACAGATTATTGTGTCAGCTATAGAATTTGTTGAATTCATCTTTTCTTAAAAATTTGTGAAGTAATCAAGAATTTTAGAAAACTTGAAGGTACATTTGAGGGTAAGTTTCCAGCCTGATGATCCAGTCTCCCTCTCGCCCCTAATATACTATGACCTTAAGAGTGTATTTTCTATAAGGACGTATTCTCTTACATAAGCACAATGTAGCCAGTGAAAATCAGGAAATTAACAGTGATGATTATCATGTAATTCTTA